CCGCCGCGGCCCCACCGCGCTGACGTGGGAATTTTGGCTCGTGCCGGTTCCCGCAAGTGCTTCCAGGATGATCTGCTGGGCCGGTGCCAGCTGGGCCGGCTCCTGCCCGGCACGGGCTGGCTGGGGCGCGAGAGGCACCCTCTTGACCCACAGCCATCCGGGCAGGGCGACCCCGGGGCCAGGCTGTGCCGGGTCGGTGTCTCATTCTGTGCCACTGACCCCCTGCCATGGGCCTGGGTCCCTTCACTGTCCTCTGGGGTCGGGGATGGGGCAGGGACCCCTGTCCTCGCACAGCGCAGACCTCAGTGCGTACTGGGATGGGCTGCACACCCGGTGGGGTACAGCCGGCAGAGCCAGCCCCAAGCCCAGGGCAGGTGTTAACTCTGAAACCTAATGATGACTTCCTTTCCCAGGACCTGGCAGCACTGGTGTTCTGCCCTCAGGCTGCGTGAAAGGACATCGATAGCACAGTCTGCTCACGGGATTTCCTGGGAGAAACCCCCCCCCAGCTCTGCCTTTGCCCTCCCAGAGCTGAGGGAAGCCAGGGCCCTTCCGGAGCGGGTGCCCATCGAGGGCCCTTTGCGTGGCGTGGCCCAGTGCCTGGGAGATCAGCCTATTTCCCAGAGCGGAGCTGCTGCCTCAGCAGGTCAGTGCTTTCAGGAATCGGGGTGGGGGGGACGTGAATCAGCGCCTGGTGGGGCCCAAAGCCCCCATCAGCTTTCCAAGGAAGGAAGTGGTGGCCGGACCCGAAACCCTGTGGGTGTTGGGGGTGCGGGCGGGGGAGTTGGCACAGCACACCCCCCCACCACGGGGCCAGTGCTGCCCCCGGGACTGTCCCGGACACCCACCCCACTGTGGTTCTGCCTCGTGGCCACCCTTCCTCCCTGCAGAGCCTGACCCGGCCACCCTCGGCCCCTTCACGGCTTCTACCAAGAAGCGACCGCTTCCAGGGTGTCGCCGTGTCCCCCGTGCCAGATCCGGCACCTCCTGCTCCATCCTGACCGCTGGGGTCTGGCCCAGGGATGGCCCCCGAGCAGAGACAGGCCGTGTCCATCACCCTGGGGCAGCCCCACACTTGACCCCTGGCCCCTGGCCACCAGCCCGGCATGGGTGTGCTGGGAGATTCCCAGATTTCCCCAGAGGATGAGCCCAGCTGATCCCAGCTGCTGCCTGCTCCTGCCCGAGGTGGCTGCGTGGGCCCCGTCCCCATTGCTGGTGTCTATGGGGCTGGGGGGGGTGTGTGATGGGGCACAAGGAGGGCTCAGCCTGACCCCCCATGCCTCTGCAGGCAAGGGGAGGGGGTGGCGGGGCTCCAGTACTGGTCCCAGTAACCCCCGCTCCGCCCTTTGCCTGCAGCCACAGAACGAAGCAGCTTTTGGGAAACAGGATCCCGTGGGCTGGAGCAGACGGTGTCCATGAGTGCCGGCTGCGACCCTCCCTGTCCGGCCCTGCTGCCGCTGCCGGCGGGCACCGGGTGCCCCTGGCTCAGCAGTTGGTCCCAGAGCCCCCAACACCCCATCCCTGACCTGCCCGTGAGGGTCCCGGCACAACCGGGCTGTCAGCTCCAGCCCCCGGGAGTGGCCCGGGCCAACGTTAGCCCCCGCTCCAGTCCCTAACCCTGCGGAGGGCAGCAGGTAACAGAATTCAGCCCAACACACACACTCACACCAACAAACCCAGGGCTGGTGTTTTTCCAACTTTTATTTTAAAAGTCATAATCGAAGCTTAACAAAGTTTGACCCCATTATTGTT